AAAAGAATAAAAACACTCAAATTTTAAAATGACCAAAGGATTTTAAAGAGCCATTTCTCGGAAGAAATTATGGAATTGGCCAGCAAACACATTAAAAAGATCTTCAATATCACTAATCACTAGGAAAATAGAAATCAAAGCCATAATTATTCCATACTTATTAAAATAGCTATTACTTAGAATGAAAACACAAAATAAGTCCTGACAAGGATTAAGCATACAGAGAAATTAAAAGTCCTGGTGGACAGTAGCTATACCTCAAAGAAAAAAATATACATACCCTGTTCATTCATTATTCATAACAGCCAAGTAAAATAATCCTGTTTCTAACAGAAGAAAAACATGAATAAGCAAAGTGTGATATGTTCACACAACAGAATATTATTCAGCCCTACAAAAGAGGAAAACTTCAGTATAGACTAAAATATTACAACATGGATAAACATTGAGGCCAGACACAAAACAAATGTTGTGAGAATCCATGTACATACTAAGGTAATTAAATTAATAGGAAGAGAAGCAGATGGTAGTTTCTGGAAGAAGAGGAGGCTGTTTGATGGGTGTAGAACTTTAGTCTTACAAGACAAAGAAGTTGTATACACTTGGCAATATTCAACTATACAATTAAAATGTTTAACATAGTTAAGTTCTGTTAAGTGCTTCTTTTATTGGGAAAATAAAAGGTACCAGAAGATAAGAAGCAAAGGTCTTAAATAAATTAAGCAAAATGGCAATCATTTAGGATGCTATTTTCTGGAAGCCCACTAGACAAGTTAGACTTGAGATTAATGAGATTGAAGAATATGGACAAAATATGCAGTACTCATACTAGACATGGATCTATATAAAATAAAATATAATAAATTTTGTATTGTTTCTTTGGAAATGGAAGATCTCTTTAGGAGCATGAATTAAGTGCAGAAAATAATAAGTTTCTTTTTTGGGACAGGCTCTCCTATAGCCCAAGACACTTGGGCTATAGCCCAAGGAGTGACCTTGGGCACTATGTAGTAGATAATGTCCTTGAACTTCTGAGTGCTGTTAATATAGGCACCATCACACTAGTTTTATGTGAGCTGGTGATCAAACCCAAGGTTTCATGTACACTATGTAAGCATTCTACCAAAGCTCCATCCCAGCCCCCAAATGAATTTCACTATGACATTTTCATACACACATAGAATGTACTTTGATCTTACTCAGCAATGATACTGGGATACCTTTTGGTACAACATATGTCAATTTTTCTGTTTATTGCCGTACTTCTGCACTTTTCGAGGAAAATATTTACTACAAAAGTAGTAAGTATGAACAGGAAATTTATACTTTAGATATTGCCTATCAACAGTGACTCTATAGTCACTGGGTTGGATCCGGTTTCTTTACTTCTAAAACACATATCACTGCACTTCTCTGGGCAGCTTACCAGAAAAGCTGCCATTTTCAAGGTAACGTCAGCAGTGGAAGAAGATTCAAGTTACAGAGTGCTTTAATGAATAATATCAGCTACAGGCTCTGGCAGAAGGAACCCTTCTACCATCACCCAGATAAAGTCCCACACAACAGGTTATGGCCAATATCAGAGATAAGTTGAAGGAATCAGGTTAACCAAAGTAGCTTCAGATTCAAACAATTCAACTAAAACATACCATTACAAAAATTACATAGAAATTCTTAAATTATTTTTGAGATGAAGAGCAAGGCCACTAATTTCTGTGCTCTCCGGGGCCAAGTATGCATGAACACTACCACAGGAAGAACAGCAAACAGGAGTTTGGGAGTGGGGAGAAAGTGCTCTGGGAAGCACATGGAGTGTTTAGGGTTTGTCCTGAAACACCGAGTTAAGTTATGACTTAAGAATCTAAAATGTGCCTCCCTCCGAGGGAGAGGGAACTGGGATTGACATGTAAAATAATAAATTAAATTAAAAAAAATGCTTTGACTCCAAAATTTAAGTTCAAGGACAAGTTTCTGGGGAAAAGGATTTCTATTTTTGTTTCCACAGAAAATGAAAAGATGTGGATTCCTTCCAGACTAATGTGGTTTGGTCAAGCCAGACCACCTGAAACAGAGTACCAGATGATCCTACATTCAAAACAGCTGGACAAAGCAGCCTTACAGACTACATCCAGGATTTCTGCATCTTCTTCGAATCCCCCATGACAGCGTCCCTTACCAGCAGGAAGTAGTTTGGAAAGAACGATGCCCAAATTCCCAAATATTGTCTATAAATGTTTGTTTTCTTTTAAATGGTCTTGGTTATATAAAATAAATAAAAAAATTTTAACACATTGGAAAAAAAAAGATGAATCTAAAATGTGGTGAAAGATGGTTCACCTATAGTGCTGTCTAAGACTGAAACGGAAATACAACTAACGGATTTAAATTTTTTTTTTTTATTTTAGTATCCAACCTTAAATGCCAATATTACAAAAATCAATCAGCTGCCACAATGTATTGAGTTGTTTTTTCCTATGAATTGACTGGATGAGGAAGTTAATTGTATTTAAGAAAAGGCTTATTAAATTAAAACAAAAAATATAACTTCAAAAGGCTCAAACAAGAACAAAGTGGGGACCTAAGAAAAGAACAGGGGGTCATACTTCAGCAGAAGTATGATTCCCACTTTATATTCTACCCGGAAACCTTTCAAATGTTTTGTCTTAAAGATATACAACTTATCACTATCATGAATAAGAACAACAGCAATGATGAGGACTTATAGAAACAGTACTCAGTAAGTACTGGCAGGGAAAGACAGCCACAAAATTATCTCAAGAAGGTTGTGGGACACTGGACAAATTCTAATCCAACTAGGTTTTTGAGAGAGAGAAAAAGTTGTCATATTCCCAGAAATGCTAAATCAGCAACAGAGATGACGTATAGAGCCTTGGTTCACTGTACTTCCTGTGTGTGTGTGTGTGTGTGTGTGTGTGTGTATACTCCCTGTGTGCAATACTTGCTCACAACTCTAAGCACATAACACATATAATCATGAACATTAATAATAGACCATACATGACAGTGAGTCTCTGTCAGCAAGCTCTTGTGTTGTTGTGACATGAGAGAAACAAGTTAAAGGTGGAAGGATCTGTTTGTCTGTGGTTTCAAAGGTGTTATTGCTTCATGGCTGGGAGGGCATGATAGGACAGAGAAGTTCACAATATGGTGTTCAGGAAAAACTACAGGAAAGAGAGAGGGCAAGTATAATACTCAGGGAAAAGTCCCAGTGACCTGGGTACCTTCCATGAAGCCCTCCTCCCAATAGTGTTACTGTATGATGAATAAAGGAATTCTCATGTATTAGATCAAGGCCTCATGATCCAGCGGTCTCTGGAAATGCCCTCATAGACACACCCTGAAGTGTGCCTAACAAATATCTTAGGTATCCTTGATCCAATCAGGTTGATGTTGAAGATGAACCACCCCATGTTTCATGACTATCACATGCTGAAAAATTCCTCTCACCTAGAAAAGCCACAGTATAAAGTCTGCAGTGAGCTGGTGGAAGAAACCTGCTCAAGTCCTGTACAGACAGTACACAAAGTCATACAATGTCTAGGACTTGTCAGTGACAGCCAATCCTGATGTTACTGGGCCAAGCATCTACCACATTACACTTATGGCTATTTCAGAATGGATTCCTTCTACTTACTTAAAAAAAAAAAAAAAGAAAGAAAGAAAGAAAGTAAGAAAAAGAAAACTTTCAGTTCTTTATGGAAGAATTCCAGAAGGTATTGTTACCATAAGAGGGACAGCTGTGTATAAGTTATTGTCCTTGAAGACCTTCTAATGGGACATAGTATACAAGCAGAGGACAGTACTATGGAAGATCTTTATCCTATGTAGGTCTAAGCTAATGTATTTGTTTGCCTTTGTTTTTAACAAAAAGTTAAGTAAAAAGATATTAAAAATTAAAAGGAAAGGCTTAAAGAATAACCTATTAAAATACTTTTGTTTAGCTATATTATTAATATCCTTGTGCTTTACAGAATTATTATGAGTGATTACATTTATAAAACATCATGAGATGGCTCAGCAAGTAAAGATGCCTGCAGCTAAACCTCATAACCCAAGTTCAATGCATGGGATCCACACTGCAGAAGAGGAACCAACTCCTGCTAGTTGTCCTTTGACTTTTATATGTAACATGTAAAAAAATTTAAATTTAACAAAGTAAAAAATTAGCAGTATTAATAAATTAATTAGAATAAAGGAATAAGTTAAATAAGAAATAAAATATTAAAAGTAAATTGGATTTTTTTTTTTTTTTTTAAGAGTAGAGCCAACCGAGACATTCACGCCAGGTTTTCTTATGCTCCACTTACTTGATGACTAGGAACACCTTCAGGTAGGTTCTGTAAGTTCTATTTAGATGGCTGCCCTTTATAAAAGTGCTAGCTTTACTTTTCCTGTACTTTTTCCAAATGCAATATGCACACAGCATGGTGTTAAATGTCTACAGTTAGGTGACATGCTGCATGGGTTTGTAGATTAGGGGCAACAGACTATGCCATATAAGACATGTGTGCAGTGGGCTATATACTCTCCAGGGTTGTGCCAGAATACTCCACATACACTCAACAACCATTTGCTTTTGCTAAAAGCAGCCAGTAATTATTTTAAGAGAGAGGATGACTGCTGGCTAGAATCTACTTTAAGATACTTTTCTGCTCAAGAGAAATACTGTTTTTGATTTTCAAGTAAGATAAACTGAGAATACATAAAACTTCTTTATGCCTTCCTCATTCTAATTTCACAGTGACATTATACTCAATAAATACTTTCTAGAAAATCAACTATAAAAAAAATCTATCAGCCATTAAATAAAGTTAGTAGATTGTAGTTCTATTGAAATGGCATTACATGTAAGTTTGTCAACTTTTTGTGTTTCTACATTTTCCAAACTGAAAATAATTTCAATTTACTAACAGATCAATTAAAATGTCAGTAAAAATTCAAAAGAAAAATAATCTAAAGAGACAAGTATTCTGACTTACCTAGAGGAGCTGAAGTCCTGAGATACTATGTTGCCCTTGTACAACTTGCTCTTCTTCCAATACAGATCATCCTGATATTGATGTAAATTAATGTGTGTCTTCCTCAACAGATTCAAGACTCAAATCAGTCTTGGTTCCATTACTCCAAGGGCCTTGGAGAGTCATCTTTCAAATACATTTACCAAATCAACTTTAAAGAATATAAACCTAAAGAAAAGGATATCAAAGATTTTACAGATATTCTAGGACAAAATTTTCCATTTATAAAGGTTACATAATCAATCAAATACACAAAAATCGACATAGTTAACCATAGCATGAGACAGGAACAAAGATATTTGCTCAAGTGACTGGTGTGACAAAACTGAATCATTGTCTTCTAAGCATAGTGCTCTGAGCCTCCAGCTCTGGCCTCCTAAAACTAAACTGAGTCACAAAGGCAAAGCCTTTAACAGGACAATTAGTAACTTTGGAAATGGATTCTACTATTACTATAGTCTAAAGGCATGCTGTTACTGAAAACAATTACCTAAACAAAACAAAAACAAAAACAAGAAAAAAAAACAAGTTAAACTTCCTTACACACAGATACAGACACTTATAAATTCATATATTCATATATCAGATTTTGCTCTTGATAATTAATGAGAAGAAGCCAAATCTTATCACTAATGAAAATGTAAGGTTTTGGGCTCTGTCAATATTTGCACAACTGAATTAAGCTATTCATGAACTTGCAATCTAACTTTAAGGCAATCTTAAGCAAGACAGAAAGTAATACTTTTTCTAAATCATATCAAAACAGAAATTTCTTGGGGCTAGAGAGATGGTTCAGCATTTAAGAGCATTGTCTGCTCTTGCAGAGGACCCAAGTCTGATTTCTAGCAATTTGGCAGCTCACAACTATAACTCTAGCTCTAGGAGATTCAATGTCTCTGGCCTTCCAGGGTACAAACATTCATGTGTATATTACCACACACAGAGATGTTTTTCAGAGATGAAAAAACTTAATATGGACACAAAACTGGCTAGTGAAAACCATATGCTTCTGTATGTACATGGTCATCTTTTGTCATAAATAAAACCATGAGTTTATTTATTACTTAACACAATCAATGACCATGCAAAGCAAGTGTTGAGAACTTTGGTAAAGGCTCAGAAAGATTTTCAGTTTTGTGGTTCTGAGGTGTTCATTGTCCCTAATTATTCCAGCTACTAAAAGAACAAAAAGGGTATCTACAAAATAACCCCAACCTTACCCCAAATACTGAAACCAAACTGACTAATTTTCGTTTGTCACAGGCATAATCTTTTAGATTTTTCTGTGCCCAATAATTTAGAAATATATAAATCCATTAGTCAGGCATGATGGCATAGGCCTTTCATCCCAGCACTTGGGAGGCAAAGACAGAGAGAGTCTGAGTCCCAGGCCAGCTTGGCCTATACAAAGAGTTCTAGGTCAGCTAGGAAGATGGAGGAAGAAGAGGGAGGAGGGTGAGGAGGAGAAGAAGCAAAACAACAACAACAACAACAACAAAACCCAAACCCCCACATTCCTAAATTACAGGCCTCACAAAACCAGGCTTAAGGTGACCTGTGAATTTCTGTTATCCTAAGTCAACGGTTTATACTACTTAGTATAGCAGTACTCAGCTTGTGGGTAATAACCCCTTTGGGATCACATATCAGATATTCTGCATCATATCAAATGTTTACATTAAGATTCATAACAGTAGCAAAATTACAGTTCTAACAATGAAATAATTTTATGGCTGGGAGTTACCACAGTGTGAGGAACTGTATTAAAGGGTCACAGTATTAGGAAGGTTGAAAACTACTGACTTAGTAGCTAAATACCCTTATCTTTAAGGCCATTCTAACCACATCCCCATAAATGAGGAAGTTCACCACTAACATTAGGATGGAACTAAACTCTCATGTACAGGTAGGAGTAAACTAACTATACTACTAACTTACCAACTGCAGCAAAAACCAAACAAACAAATAAATAACATGAATATCTGAGATTAAATGTACCAGGCAGTATTCTCAGCATGTTGTTTAATTTGCAACATGGTCATGGGATGAGTATTTCTATGATCCCTATTTTGTATATGAAGAAACTTTGGCACAAATGGCTAATGTCAATTATCTAAGCTTACACAGTGAGTAAATATGTCTTGAGGCTCATGGATGGTCACCATGTTTTGCCCTTTAACTTCATCATTTGTTCTTTTCTTGTAAAATTTCCATTTCATGTGACAATTCTCAGCAATTAAAATGCACCATAAATTAAGTGCATGTAGAAGACTATGTGATACACTTGACAGCTAATAATAAATAATAAATAGCTAAGCCCTACTGAGCTTAGGACAGTAACAAAAACCGAAGGGCTCAGATGGAGGGAACTTTAGTATTCTCATAGAAAGACTGAGCACCAAATCCCTATTCCTCCCTGTGTGCTATTCACTGGAATAAATAAATGTTGATGGCACTGTCCAAGGAAAAGGGTGGCAAAAGGCAAGTCACTATGCAATCTCGAAATGACTTCCGCAATTTATTGCTTAAATTTGCTTCCAGCTTTGCTGTATAGAGGGCATTACCCACCTATAGTGTTTGTCGCTTACTGGTGTGCTAGCAGCAATGTTCAACAGTCACAGTACAATGAAACTAACCTGCACACTCATTTGCTCACTGTTCTTGTTTCTACCATTTTGTTGTTCCTGAGGGCTGTGTTCCAAATCCAGCAACACAGAGAATATTGTACTCTTTAGTGGGCATTTGAAAAAAATAGGGGTTATTAAAATTATTTAACTAAATACTTAACATTTATTTAAGAATAGTGCTAAATTGCTAAAGTGCCTTTTAGAAGTTATAAAGAAAGACCACAACTTCAAATAACTTCAGAATAAAAACACCAAAGAACTTGACATTTGAGGACTTTGGCTGGCCAAGGAAATAAGAAATGCCTAAAAGTGAACTTATTCCAAAGAGCTGTCACTGGAATGCAGCTATGTGCCAGACAATTACTTCAGAGTCTGCTTTCATTACTTACAGAAACATGAGGAAATTTACATGACAGATGATCTCCATAGCATTGGGCCAAGAACATAAGACACAGGGGTTCTTACCAGGACAAGGCTCAGAGCAAAATTAATATGGCCAATGTTATAAAATGTACTTTGCAAATTTTCTTAAATTTATACTTTTCCAAAAGCACTTGCTATCAGTAAAGTGCACAATTCTGTAACGTGTGACTAGTATAGTAAGAAAATGATATTTCTCAGCAGAAAGCCAGCATCCATGTTTCCTGGGGTGGCTCACAACAATGTGTATTTTCAACGGAAATTATCTGGCTTAAAATTGTACTTCAACATTTTCATTTTCAAGAGGCACATCTCAGAACTGTGGCTTACACTCTTCCTCTCATCGTCTCTGTCTTGAAGCACATCAAACTGTCTTGGTACTATCTCCTAAAAGCCCTTTGATGTCTGTTTTTCTTCTTCTCTGCTGCTGACCTCCTGGCACATGTTGTATCATCCCCTGCCTAGAAAACTAGGTACTCTTAGCAGGCTTTGTGGGGTTTCATGGTCTACTCTTGACTTGCTTTTCCCTATACTTCCTGCTTCAGCTCTGCACCCCAGTTATACCAGCCTTCCCTGAATTTCCTGGGTATGATAGCTTCCTCTCAACGGAATCTTTATATATGTTAAATTTGCTCACTGTAATGACAAAATGCCCAGGACAATCAACTTAATGAAGGATTTACTTTATTCATAGTCTCTAAGTTTTCACTGTGGGGCCTGTGGTGGGGGAGTATATTTCATGGCAGGAAGCTGCTCTTCTCATAGTGGCAAGGAAGCAAAAAGAGAGAAGGAGTTGGGGTCTCAGTATTTCCTTCAAGAATATGTTCTCATGGTGACCTAACTCATTTCCCTAGGCTCCACCTCCAAAAGGTTCTCTTACGTCTCAATGGTGCTGTAGACTGGCAAACAAACCTCAACACATGAACCTTTAGGAAACACTTAACATTCAAAGCATAGAAAGGTCTCAAGGCAAAACCATCTCCTCAGAGCTGTCCAAACCCCAGATTAGTTCAGATACCCTTTTAATACATTCAGCGAACCCTGCATCTTTCTATCATATTATTGTGATTTTATTTAAATAATGCCTAGTACCACTAACAAATAATGAAGTCCTGTGGTCCTCCAGTGAGCAGCCAAGGATAAGCAAACAGCTAGCTGGCTTTACAAGCCACAGCTGGTTAAAGACCTAGTGGAAGGATGCAACACTGTAAAATCTCCCTAGACAGAGTAAGAATCTTGTTCCACAGGGGCTGCATGGCGGGTAAGACAACATCTTGTAAAGGGAGCAGAAAGGGACTTTATCTTAAGGACTAAAACTCCACTTTGATTTGAGAACTGCAGGCTTAAACACAATCTTTTTATGTTGGCAAGGAATACACCTCCAGAAATATATCATCCTTTCATCATTAACAAAAAATTAATCTCCTTTTTAGTATTTTATATAATTCTGCTATTTCTAAGTCAATTCTCTTTATTGTTAGCCAACTTCAAATTAATAGGATTGAAATTTAAGTTATTATAATAATGGCGTTTTCTTTCAAAAAATCAAAAGTAAAAGCTGATATATTCTAGAATAGAAAATATCTAAGAGAGTCACTGCAAAAACTGATTTTAGGATATTCAAGTATAATGTAATTTAATAGAAATTTTCATAATAAAAAAATATGAGCTGGCAGTTAGCAAAGTACTTACCAAACAATCAGAAGAACCTGAGTTCAATTACAGAGACACATATTTCAAGAATATCAAGTGTTTCTCTGGCTCTTGACAGGAACATAAAGGCAGGGTTAACTTAACCTTTTGCTGTCTAAACAGTTGGCATTTCCTGTTCTGGGTGCTACTGCCAAATGTCCTGGTACTTAGAGCTGGGATACACAACTTTACCATGGACCTAGCAATGCAGCAGCCTGTACTCTGCAATTGGCCATAGATGAAACACTGAGTCACCAGGCTTCTAGAATTGTTTCAGCACTCTCTCATGGTCATTTGACTGGAGCGGTGTAGAGGCAGTCTCTGGACACTTTCCTGTATAGTTCTCTGGGAAGGCTATATATTTCGGTTATTGTTTTGTACTTTCCGTTGCATTTTGTAGCTTGTATTTATCTTCATATATATATTTCA